TTAACCTATCCTATTCTTGAAATCCAGCCTGCCCTCTACAACCCACATCTCCTTGTCCTGCAAGATCCTTTGCATTATACCGTTTAAAGTTAGCTAATGCGCCTTAGCACTACCCAACCTATCCAACCTTATTCTAACCTAAACAATAGGATTATGTTTGAGACGCATTGTAATGGTGGGATAAATAAAAACCATAAAATGGTCAACAAATTGCTGCGCGCGCTTGAAAATGTTGAAGTTTTTCAAAATGGACCCTTTCATTTCTGATTGACCAGATCCTATTATTATCTATTTATTACTCACTTTTACTTTAGGTGTAAATTTTACTTTCGATTTTTGTAAATTCATGTTGAGTCCGTCACTACCTTCGATTAAAATGTATCCGATTATAATTACATTTTTTTTTTATTATGTTTTAGGAAACTATATTGCAATGTCACGTAATACTAAATCATTAAAATCATTCGAAATGTATGTAAAACATTTACTATGTATACAGTATTAGGTAGCATACATATCGTTACTATACATACATTATATGATATTGTCTTTATAGTTGTTTCAGCCAGCTGCGCGTAACTTTAATGTGCTTCATTAAAAAACAATGTCAACTTGTTTTTTTTCTATTGTAAACTGTACATTTATTCATAATTGAAGAAGTTTAAAAATTTTGTATTCTTTAAAAATAAGATTTAAATTTTAAGAAATTTGGAGATATTTGAAGTATTTTTTCTAATGTATTATACGAAACTACTTCAATTTTTAATGTACTTATTTTTTTCTGTAAAAAAATTAGCAGTCGTCATTTAACGAATTTCTCAAAATGCAGTTTTTAATTGCTAAAATTATGATACTATTATTTACTTTTCTCGTCACTAATTAAAATGTCAGATTTTGTAAAATAGCCAAATAGGTATATTCCTCAATAATTCGACGATGTTTACCATCCATTTATTTAGAGATTCGACTTAGGCAATAACTGCCTAAATAAACCAAAATAGTGTATTTTTTCACGCTGCATACGATGATTTATTCAGATTTTGAGTTAAATACCCAAAATGTTACATAAAACGCGTGCAAAAACACATAAAATCCATTTTAAAATTAGATCTAATTAATTCGAGTTTTAGTAGTAGTGTTTTATTACGTTTAATATGATGGTAATAACAGAATTTTCCTAACTAAAATATATCTTGCGGAGACTTACAAACGATGTTGAAATCCATAATTCATGACATCAGGTTGTCTGTCTCAAAACTGAAGATGCGCTCTGGTAGCACCGTCTAGTATTATCCACAACGATTTATGTATTTTTTTTATTCCATGAAAGCATTTTGTCAACTGACGCGGTCATGGAACAAACGGTTTGGACGTTGAGCAGCCATCTTTGCAATTTCATTGGACGGCGACGCCTCTTAAAAATGGCGGAATCCCCAGTGTGGCCAGGATTTTGTCCTCATTCGAACGTTCACTTTTCCCGCCAATAAAAAATTAACCACAAATGCCACAATAATATTATTCTATAGGAGACTTCGCCTTATCATAAATCACTTACTTCGTGACACTAATCCATCGACTTTTCACAATTTAATTTCAGTCCATACCGTTTCAACTTATTCGCTACCAAGTCACTCCACACGTATTCCACTTATTTTAGCCAATTCCAACACTTACATTCAACAATTTTATTTCACCGTCCAATCTTAGACACGCCATACCTGGAGTAAAGTTTAAGTTGGAGTCACTCGTGAAAATATATATTTTATATTATTAAAACCACAATCAATAGGTAAAATAATACTCTCTCTTTTTGTGTAAAAGTGAATTTTTATTGTGGATAGAGTTTTAACAATATAGTAAAATATTTATTAGGTATTAATTATTAAATCGTATTTTTGGCTTGTAATCTAATAATTATTGTATTTAAAATTATACCTAATGTTGACATATTATGAACTATCACACACGTTACATAACTCTAGCTTTGGCTCAAAATCCCACACATTTTTTTTCCTACAATTGTTGTCTAACATTTAATATTGAAATAAATCCACCCTTTGAATCAGACTTTTACTTTATTGAATAAAACAAGTGTTTGTCTAACACTTCATTTAAAAATACTCTCAAATAAATATAAATAAAAAATGTGTATTAGTAAGATGGATTTTAGTAACATTTATGAAAATGTATTTAAATACACTTTCAAAAACTAATAAAATTCATTTTTTGTTTAAATATAAATAATAAATAAAACGAAAAAAAAATCGAATCGAATCTTTTCCTTTTGGGAAAAACACAAGACCATTAATATTATGTTTTATGGCATGCCAATGTCTTATGGGTTCATCCTAAGCGATGAATGGAATGAATTTCAACTTCTGAACTCATACTTTGCATGAGACAATTAAAAGGAAGTTATGGTTTAAATTTCAAGTTTCTAGCACCACAGGAAGTGCATCAAAAAACGTTGACCCCCAAATATAAGACATTAATGTCAACGTATTTTAAGTGGAACGAAAGAAGGTTTTTTTTAAGGGACCAAAGATAGGCAATATTTAATAAAAATGGTCGTATTGTAAGTATGCAGAATAATTTTGAGGGGTAATTAATATTAGTCTTTCAAGTTACATTTAAAATAACTAATGGATGATAATTTAAAATAATTGCCTATTTTATAAAATAATTTTCTATTTAAATATAAATGGGAATAACAATAAAAAATATATACATTAAATATCGTTTGAAATTATAATAAAAAGTATTTTTAAGTAAAAAAAAAAATTTTTAAATATAAATTAAAAGCAAAAAGTACTATTTAAAAAAAAGACTGATTTCAATCTATTATAAAAAATGTGTTTTGAATAACTGGATACTTAAAAATTGGTTTTTTGTTACTGTTATAAAAAATGCCCAGATGAATCAAAACCATAAAAAATGAACTATACATTAGTTGTTAAGTCTTAATCTGCAATTTTAATCAAATGTATTTCTTAATTTTAAATTACTTAAAGAATTAAATAAAAATGTATTTCAAATGATAAATTATTTGCTAATACAAATTTAATTAAGAAACTATTCGTTATTAGTAAACTTTTTTTTAAATTATAGTTGTTGAACAATTTTCCAAATGCATATCAAAACTGTCATCATCGTAAGAACGATTTTAGACGGCTACCATCACAAAATTGTAATGTTTTGATATATTTTTTATTTCGTTTGGAAACTAAACTATCTAGTGTCATATTTATACACATTTTTTTGTATTAACTGCTGTCACAAAGAAAATATGTCATAACCTTTACAATAACTTCTAGTTCAAACTAAACAATAATTATAATTATCATTAAACACAGAAAACCTTTTTTTTTTGTAATAAATGTCAAAACATTTTCATATTGAATACTGTTTTTAATTTCGTTTTCTCCAATCATAATAGTGAATAAAATACAGTGGTTTTTCCCCTTAATTTTAATAATTTACTAAAATAAGACATTAAAATTTCGTTAATTTAATATTATATTATTAAAAATAGTAATAATGTAAACATCACACACTACACCCGTTAACGTACATATTTAGTCGTGTTCCGATATTATAATAATAGTTTTTGTTTAATATAATGTACTATAAAAATTAACTAAGTGAATCAATGCAAGTCAATAATATTAACGATAATACAATTATTATTCAGACATACAGTGTTCACGAATTACACAAAGTATTATTATACATTCGATTCCAATTGTTGTGTGTTAAATTAAAGCCTCGTCAGTGCGTAATGATAACAGTTTGGCAGTAATGGCAATTAATACAATACACTTAAGATCTAGAAAGAAAAAAACCAAAAATACAAACATAGTTACGAGACTTGAATCTTTTAAACATAGACTAGGTAGAAATAAAAATAAAAATGAATTCCAATCGTTAATAGTCGTAAATCCTAATGTCAGTTGTCAGTACACAATAACTGAGAGGATGCCAACGTGTTAAAACAATTATTAATACAAAAAATTAAAATTGTGTTGCCAAAACACTGGAGTGCAAGTTTTGTTTTTTTCAAACAACATTTATTGCCGTTACTTAACAGTACAATTTGTATTTTTATTTCGATAAATTAAAATACTCGGTTTTTAAATCAAAATCAATTTGTTATTACATTATTTAAATTTACCATTGGATTTAATATTGGCATCCTCAGCTAACACAATTACAAATTAAAACTTAAAAAAATTAATATTATTTAGATATAATTGAATTAATTATAATATTCTACTAATTTTATTATTATTATTAGTATTATTTTTTAAAAGGATACAATTCATAACTTAAACGATAATAAATACAAACGCCTTATAGACAGTCTTGATTTAAAGTATAATAATATTAATTTTAATAACATTTTATTAGCATCATTGGAAAGAAAAAAATATGATTTCTTTTTTTATTTAAGAATTTTCATTGAAAATGTTTTGCGAGTATAGGAACAAGTTTTTTTCTACTAATATAACGTTTAAATGAAACTTGTGACTGGCAAAATTAAAAAAAAAAAATTTTTGGTTTACATTATTACTTTGACATTAATATTGAAAATTAACTACGTTAACAACGTTTATATTTTAACAGTTCTAAATCTTTGGGACGTTAATTGAACAATGATTAAAAACTACCTTAAATAAATTATAATATTACGATAACACCGGTCGAAAATGTTTAAGACACATTTTTCTACCGTTGCCAAAGCCAATAAAAAAAACTTTTTTGCTACACAATTGAATCAAAAGTAATAATACAATATAATATGTCTTATATAAATAGTTTACGAGTATAGTTTTTAGTTCTACAAGAAAAATACTAATAAGGATTAATAATATTTTCATACACAATATGAAATTTAGTATTGATAATGTCGACAAAACTTGTGGTTAGAACGATAAACAACACTCTATGTAAAAAGAATGGCTAGATATTAAACTTGTTAAAATTGTATGTAAAATTTAAAATAACACTTTTGGTAGGGATACATAATGGACAAAAAGAGATTATATCGTCTCGAGAGAGTAAGTAGGCTAGTACGCCGAAAAGAACAATTTTAGATTACATCAAGTCCAAATCACTAGCTATCAAACGTGTGATCGCTTTTGCATTAACATACGTGAGACCGCGATTAACTGGAATGTTTGTAAAAATAACGATAGCCGATTGGCCTCAGGAACCATTTGGGTTTTTTTTTTTGTATAATTAATATTGTAGTAGACTCCACGATTGTATTGAGGGCAGCAGACTAAATATGTGCGGTTAAGGTTCTAAAGTTGCTGCAGTGTTTTTCATTTGATCAGCGGGAGCCCTGGAATAAAAAGATTTTTAAAATTAGTTTTCAGATTTAGTAAAAGAATAAAAATGTGTTCAAAAATACAACAAGTACGTGAAATGTAGAGATAGGTTACAAATAAGTATTTAACAATATGCTCGATAATATACTATGACGTGTTGTTTTCACAAAAAAAAAAAAAATGAATAATAGGTAATCATAATAACAAAACCAACAAAAATAATTACATTGTTAACATACATGTTTGAACGTGCAAAATAAAAAAAAAATTGGTGTTTTTCAAAATTGACAAAATCAAAAAGACAAAATAACACAGCAGGTTTTCTTTTAACAAAGCCCTGCAAATGTTAGGTGTGCACCCAAAAATTGGTTGTATTGAGTTCATTAAGCATACTAAAAAAAAATTTTAATGGATCAGTTTTTTTAAATGACAAGCCAGTAAAAATTGGGGCTACTAAGGTTGAACAATATTTAAGGAGACCAACAAACAATGTTTTATCGATTGTTTTAACTTGTTGTAATTGTATTTTTTTTTTTGCAGGTAATTCAAGTATTTTGTTTTTAAAAAAACAAAAAATAATATTCTATTACCGCCGTTTAAAACTTTTACAACACGTTGTTAGTAGTTGTAACCGCTTTAAAATGTTGGCCTTTACTGGGCCGGACACCCTGCTTTTCATTTTGGCAAATATTAACTTGATGATGAAAAAATATAATCTACTTTGGTATAAATGTAATAAAACGGTTAATTATGGAAAAAATGTAATTCTGTGTTTGGTGAAAAACAATGTGAACAACAACAACAGCAAAAATAGGGGAATCTACCAGCTATTCTATACTAAGCAGACAAAAAAAGGTCAATTTTGTTTTGTTTTTTGCCTTAAGTGGGACGCCACACATCTGGATCTTCCATGTAGGTCGTGTGATGTCCGCCCATAGGTTGAGCGACATTATCGACAGGAGAGGCGATAACGCCCATGTCGTCCCTAGATCCTCTATTAGTCGCATAAAAGAACAAACACAGAACAAAAAGCCAAAAATGTTATAACAATGGCGACATAACATTATTATTAATAAGATATTAAAAAAAAACTATTAAGAGCCATCAATATAGGACATTTCAAATGTTAAACAAATGAAACAGTTAAAATAATATTATTATGTACTTTTGATTGTACAACACTTACTTCTTTCCAATGGACATTAAACCGTACAACAATCCGGTACCAAACACCAATGCACTAGCAATGAACGTACTCGGTCCAAAGCACATAAACAGAGGTACCAACGATGCTCTGAAATATCAAATAATTGTTGTTAAAATTTACAAATTATCCATCAACTGTGTTTGCCTAAATTTAAATTAAATAATAAACAATAACTAATGTTTCAAAGAAACACATTTCCTGTCATTCCTGTTAAATATTCCAGCAAATTAGTTTTAACATAAAAGATATGAAATTGGTAAATATTCATTAAAAAAAAATAGACATTTAAATGAATAAAAAAAAATGTATATGCAATATAAATTGTTTGACCAAATAACTATTATAGTAGCGAATATTTTGAAATAAATATACAAGTAGAAAACAATAAAATACATTTTTTTATCCTCATTTATATAAAAAATGATTCGAATAATGCCCAAGTCCATCCATAAGGCATATTTGTAATTTTTAAGCTATAGAAATAGATTGTAATAATTTAGGTAAATTTCGTCAACTATTTCATATTATCGATTTTCTTACCCGGCGTAAAAAATAGCTCTGCTCCAATATGGTTTGCTCTCAGCAATGTCGCTCACTTGTTGCATATAATCGACAAACACACAAAGACAAGGCGCTTCCAACGCTATCATCAAAAATCCCAGAAATCTAAAATTGAACGAATTAAATTAATTACGATAAATAATTTTTATAAACTATATTAAAATTAGATAACATTGTGTTGGTATTGGGTGTTACTCGGTCGATATAATATAGCAAAATAATAAATACAACTGTCGTTTCGAGAGAAAATTATCTTGCTAATGACATTAAAAGCGACAAAAAACAAAATATAAACGTATTTGTTGTTTTCGTTTCACTGTATCGACCAAGAACCACCATTGTCAACGATACAAAATCTATACATTTGCAAAACTCCTCCGAACAAACAGTCTGAATTCAAAAATATGATCGAGATTCCGTTCCACAATCCAGTAAAGAGATTCACTGAAAACAAGAAAATAAAACAATTAAACATTTTCTTTAGCATAATTTTTTTGAGCTTCGAAAAATAATTCAGAAATTCATATTTTTTTCTTACTGTAATGTATATTCTGGAGCAAGTAAAAATATATCATTATGTTTATTTTATTACGGTTATTTGAAAAGAACAAAAAAAGAAAGTTTTTTAATCAACCTTTTTTTTATATGCCTCATAATTATAATTAAGTATTTATAAAAGTATTATAAATACTTAAAAAAAAATTTAGTAACAACGATAAATTATAATGCAGCCAAATAACGGCCTACTTTTAAGTTAATTAAATAATTAATAAAAACTAAAATAACCAATATTTTTGTTTTGAAATCACATGATCTTTTTTTCAATATTAGACCTTCTAAAACAAAAAAGTTAACCGAAAAATAGGAATTTTATCCATAAAATATTAACCTGCTTATAAAACTGTGTATGTGGAGTAAAAAACTATAAATGATCAAATACCTAACATAATATACAATATGTCTCGCCCAATTGTACCCCAATTTGATGTTTGGATTTTTTTAAACATTTATACCTATACAAATGGCTACCTGGATTTTTTTTAATAAAATATAATAATACAATTTATCTTAACTCCTCAATTGGGAGATATGAATTTTTGAAAAACATGATCATTATTGTTTTCAATTGCGTACAACTTAAATACATATAAATTCAAATAATTAAGTAACAAGAAGAAATGTTTGAGATGAAAATATTTTTCAAGTAAAACTTACTTCTCAATACTTTGATTTAACATTTTAAATTGTCTTTTTTTTACATTAGTTTAAAAAAATTAGGTTTATTGATATTAAAAATGTTATAGTTTGGATGTGGACCTGAGAAGGTATTGTTTTCACAACAATGTATTTTTTTTTTGTGTCTGAATCAACGATATTATCAAAGTATCCAATCCGATTTATTAATTTAGCAACTCTGTAGATCAGTATTCTTAAAATAAAGTACTGTCGATAAACACTGACAACATCATAAACCCTTTTCTCAAGAAGAGATGGATATTTTTTTTCTATGTGAAAGTCTTAGGACTAAATCTTAGAAAAGGTTTGAAAAGTTAGACTGAAAGTATGCCATTAAAAATGGTAAAGAAACTGTTTTGAACAACAATATTTATTGTTATTTTTTTTAAATAAAACAGTATAACAGTCCTGCTTCTTCAGAATAGAATTATAGTGTACCTATAACGATAAATAGTAAAAAAAAATTAAATAGGTGACTGTTTTAGTGCAAAAGTTGGGAAAGGCAGAAATTATTATTTTTTTTAGCTCCGGAACAAATAAACGTTTTATTAGCTCCCACAAAAATACATTATTACTTGCAACAAACTGTCAAAAAGGCGAAAGATTTATTCGTATTGAAAGGGAACCGGAGTACAAACTGTCAGCGGAGAAAACAGTTTAATTGAAATTAATTTCAGATTTATATTTATTATACAATTACCAATGCCGGCAAACGTTCCCAACGATCTGCCGCCATATTTTAAATGCCAAGGAACGTCGTCTCTGTTTTCGCCTTCATCGCTAGCTCTTTTCCAAATGTTTGTAACTCTGTCGCCCATAGACTATAAAAAAAAAGAAATTTTTAAAACTTTTTTCTTAGATAATAACAACACAATACAAGAAAAAAGTTTTAAATTAGAACGCATTAATATTACTAAACATAAAATTTAAAAAATAATTAGAAAATCACATTCACTGCACTATTTCACATTATATATTCATCACGGTTTACTGCTTAACTAAATGTAAAAATATATAAACATACTACAGTAGGTATAAATTATATACTTTTTTTTTTACTATATGCTAATGCTTAACCAACAATTAATTAATAAAACATGATAGGAAAATAAAAATAAAAATACCATTTTACTAATTATAATTCTTTGGTGTAGCCACAAGGAATTAGAATCATAGAAACAAATAACAAACGTTTGCTTGCCTTCCAGATACTAACATTATTGGTAAAACTAAGCCGAAGCGTACAAATGAAAATAGCTAACTAAATCTCCAAGTTTGAGTTACTAAGGTTAGGTACAAGTCTTGTCAATACTTAGCATGTTGTGAAATGAATACTTTACATTAGAAAAGTAAAAACAGTGTAACAACATATCTATATGAACGGCTGTATCCAGCATCGTTTTTCAGGAAGCGAGGTACGACTTATGTTACAACGATATCGGGTTTCAACATGGTTAATATTTCGTTGGTATTATAAAGTTTCGAGATATAATAACATTATACGGCTTCAACAAAGGAAATACCATACACTTGTTTTATACTAAGATTTTTTAATTTAATTTCATAACCACTTAAAACAATTTTTCTATTGCAATATAATTGTACTTTGGATGTAAAAATACTTATTTAAAAACATTTCAACCCTTTCTGAAACGAATTTGAAATCAATTTGACTATTCTACGGAAAGTGACATGCTATACTTCAAATAGAGAATAAATACTGAAACTCGTATAATAAAAAATTACTGATTCCTTTTTGCGGTCACTGAATTTTTTTATGAAACTTTGCGAAATAAATTTATTGTACATAAAATTAATTTTTTCATGATTGTGAATGAGTCGTTATTACAGAAAAAATCTATGTAGAAGTTAACAAAACAACTTTTCAAATAGATAAAGAAAAACAAGAGTTTCAGAATGACACAAACACATTTTCATTTCCACAGTATATTAATTATTTTAAAATAAATTATATTTTTTTAACTTCGATAGATAGCTGAAAAAGTAAGGTTTTACCTTGGACAACTTATTAACTACCAGACAATTGTCTTTATGTAGTAAGACTGCAGATCATATCCTAATGGTACATAAGACCAAATAATAACCTCTTCTCCTTTTAATAATTTGAGAAAAAATACATTTGTATGGCCACACTATAGCTTTAGAAAAATAGGAAGTAACTTTTTCTTATTTTTACTTTCCTAAGCATAGTTTTTGGACATAAGGTCTGAAAAATTGATTGTACCTAGCTCACTAGGTGCCCATAACATAAAAAAATATTTTCAAAAATACGTAGTTAGTTTTTTTTTTTTATAAATAAATTTTTTTTATTTTATTTAAACAGAGCTATCAATTTACATGGACTTGATTTTTACTCTGTGTAATAATAATTCCAGAAGACCTTACCCCAGTATAATGGTTTTTATTATTGTAATTAATTATGAGATAATACTAAATCTGCGCTCTTGCCCGCCCCCCGGGACATAACCAAATTATCTAAATAATTACGTGGGCGTAACTCAAAATATAATGAAATAGATTTGAAAAATTAGATAGACCTACTATAAAATTGGTTAAAATGACGTTTGTGAGTAAAATGCAAGTTTTTGATCAGAGCTTGTTCCGACACCCCCGTCGTACACTTATAGTCGATAGAGGAACCCGCCCTAATAGTGATTCGACGAAGGAACGTTCGTTTGTGGGCAGACGTGACGGCACGGTGCATCATTAACCTATGCTAATCGAGCCGAACCGAATCAGAAAAGAAAACAGAAAAATAATTTCAAAGGATTGACGTGCGTCGGTTTTGGATCAATAACGCGGCAAACCCGACTCGATTGCTGTTGTACGAGACGGAGGGGTCGCTTACCATGACTCGAGGGTTTTTCTGTGCGGTCCTTTTCCAGAAAAAAACTGATCGACCGGTTGTAACGGTTTGCTGAGACAGACGACTCGGAGGGGGAGGTGCTTCGGCGGATGGATGATTTTTTAATTTCCAACTTTTCAAGTAGTGTTCGACCGGGCGAACTGCAGCTGCCGTAGATACACACACAAGAGTGGCGGCAGGAGAGGAGAGGGGCGGTCGATCGTTTACTATTGCGCTGTTATCAGTGAGAAAACGTCGAGAGCGTTGTCGGCCGTTATCAGTGAACGCTGTGGTTTTTTTTTTCGCGGTTGTGTGGTCGCCACCGAAAATCGGGAGATAGGTATGCCGGTGCGGCCAGTGACGTCCGCAACATGGCCGCCGGCGCGGTCGGGCGGCCGCGTGTTCCTAGGGCGAGAAGCCATGTTGTCGGCGTGCGTTCATCACGTTCTCCGGTCGCGCCGGACTTACCTTGTTCGCGTTTGGTCACGGTCTCGGGGAGGGGTCGGGCCGTCCCGTTGTAATATTATTATCAACCTCCAGTCGTCGGCGAGTTCGGCGTTTTTCTCACCAGAGTATGCCGCAGAATAATAACAACATAATATTATTATTCTGCTATTGTACATGCGTATTTTTCCCTCCATCCCGCGACCGTCCGGTAAATTGAAAAATATTGATTTTTTCCCTAAGTATTATATATTTTTGCGATCAATACTCGGGTTTCCGAAATATCTTCCACCCCACCGGCCGTTCGGCATTCGTTTGCCCGTGATCGTCCGAGTCGGTTGTCCGTGTCTTGTCGTCGCCAATACGATTGGATATATCATCACAGGTCTTCGGTCCATTCCGGTCAGTAGTGTGTATCTTCAACGGAAATAACAAGCAATAATACGTGCAATGGCCAAAGCGGTGAACGCTGTCGTCAAGTTGACGGAGTTGATCAATTGGAACGAGTACTATCATACGGTGTTGGCCACCCAAAGTAATTTGAATATTTATAATAGCTACATATAAAAAAAAAAATTAAAATCCTATCCGAGCGCTAAGAGCCTCTCCGTCGTTAAATATAATTGTATTGACGCATCGATTCGGACAGAGCCTATTAATATTTGTACACAATAACGCAACTATAGTTGGCAATAACCCGGGTTTTTATTTTTAAAAGTCCGAACCAGTTGAGTTCTTTTAGCCGATTCTAAATTGGTTTACATGACTCATAAAATGATTCAAGATCCTGGGTATGAAAATAAAAAATTGTGTTCATTACTGGAACTACTGACAATTTAAGACCTGTAATGAACAATTTAAATGGGTGACATCAACGTACGAGCAATATTTTTTAAATATATTTGAGTGAGTGTGTAATAATAGTTCTTGAAAAATGCATTCAAATTATATTTAATTTAATACAGCCTACTTTAGCTGTTTCAATAATTGAATGAGTTAGTACTAAAAATCTTGCAAATGTTGTATTAGTAGAAAAAAAAAATTAAAGATTACAGTTTATGAAATAAATTAATATATTTATCGCGTTTTAAAATTTAAGAAAATGTTTTTGTTGTATGGGGAAAATAAATATGAAAAAATGGTTTGTTAATTGAACTTTCATATTGTGTTTCAATGTATTATTCTTAAATTTTGTTTATTAAACTAATCAATAAATATTTAAATTTTGGCGCTGTGCGTCTCATATATGACTTAAATTTTTTTATTTTATGGTTTAGGTTGTAATAAGAGGAGGAGTGGCTAAATGGGTGAAGTGGTAGTGTGTTAGCGCTCATTGTCCCTGGTTAGACACTTGGTCACGGGTGCTCCATTTGCCGGGTGAGCAGAAGTCCTGTAAAAAGATGCCACCTTCTCCCTCTCCGACTACAGACTGACAACCCGTCCCAGACAGTGAATCCATTTTGAAACCATCATCTCATGATAGCAGCATTAGGCCATAAAGACCTGTTAAGCTGATGATGATGGTTTAAGTTTTAATTAATGAGTTCTATCAATGATTATAAATATTATAGATTGTCCACCGTGATAATTTTCAGTTCTGGACGTCAACACGGAATGGGCGCTAGTAGTATCGTTTACAATGAAAGTGATACTACTATGGATCCCGTGTCGACGCCCAGAACTGAAATTTGTCTCGGTGGGCTATCTATAATATTTATAATCAATGATTCTACTCTAAATATCACATGCATTTTAGTTTGATATTGGTTAGTTTTACAAGTCTACCGTAACTGGCAGTTAATGATAATTTTTAATCAAGCCTTCTTGGGGAAAAAAATGGTTACCTATGGTCCATTAAAAAAGGTGAGAGGACAGGAAACTAGGAATATTAATAAGAAACCTTAGTTAATAGAGACCAACAATCGTCTTAAGTAAAAAATTGAATTTTATAATTAATTTATTATTTTTCTATGTTTGCAGGAGTACCGGTCTACAGAGACAATCTCGTCAGTGTTACGCCAACGTTCAATGAAGAAATAAACAACAAAATATCACTTTGGCAAGGAGACATAACGAAATTGGAAGTTGATGCCGTTGTGACTGCGGCCAACAACGGTTTACTCGGCGGCGGAGGAGGTAGTCTTTTTTTTCAGAGTGAATATTTCAGTCTAATATTCACGCATGAATTAATTTTTGTTTAGTTGACGGGGCGATCCATAAAGCAGCTGGACCTGAACTCCTCGAAGAGTGCAAAACATTAAACGGATGCGAAACTGGAGATGCAAAAATTACACAAGGCTATAAGTTGCCGGCCAAACGTAAGCTTAGCGTTTGATTAAGCAATCAGTTATAATAAATTACATTTAAATTTAAAATAAAAACCTCTGTTGTTGTAGATGTCATACACACTGTTGGCCCAAAAGGCGAAAAACCAGATTTGTTGAAAGCCGCCTATGAAAATTGTTTGAAACTTTGCGTGGAAAACAACTTAAAGACAGTTGTAAGTTTAGCGATTTCACTTGTTGAATCAAAGTATTGTTACATATTTATTTATTATGTTTCAATTATATTTTTTAGGCTTTTCCTTGCATTTCAACTGGAGTTTACGGTATGCTAAAAATTGTTTTTATGTTACGACTTCAATGCAAAACTAGTGATAGTTTTTTTATCTCTATTCAATAGTCTTAAGTCTTTATTAAGTAAAATTTGGATACAAATTGTCTTCCCTCTTCCCATAATTCTGTATTAAGAGGACGCCACACCGCCCATTTTTAAGGAGTAAAGTATAGGCAATTTTTTACAAAATCTTAACTTAAAGGTTAAACTGTGATGTGTAACTATGAGTTTAGTAGTTAGGACTCTTTTTTAATAGTTGAAATATTTTTCGGACTATCGCAGCATCCTTGACAGAGATTTAAAAAAAATGTCTGTTGAGTTGAGTTTTATGCGGATTAATTTTTCTCAGGCTATATATAGTTAAGGAAAGAAATTCATACATATTATTTATGACAAAATCATCTGTGTTCCATCATCAGTACTTTTTCGATATACCTAATTCAACCAACGCTATATCATTTTTAAAATGGTCAAAAAAGTCGTTTCTTAATTAATTAATTATTCATTAACTGTTTGCAATATTAAAAAAGGGCGATGATAGAACACAGACAATGTTGTTGTCTATATTATGTGAAAATTTGATTTCTTAGTTTTGATTACAGCCTTTGTAAAATTAATCCGCGCAAGGTAGGATTTTTAAAGAAAATAACGGTTGAGTGGCGCCCGCTTAATAATATTTCATCCAGATTTGTATCGAAACATTTTCTAATGAATGTACAAGTTTTTTATGGGTTTTACTTTTATACATACACAAGAATATTTCAGATGTTTTACATTTGTTGTGTTTGATAAATGATTGTTTGTTTCTGTAGGTTATCCTCAAGAAGAAGCCGCTATCGTTGCTATAAAGACAATTAGAAGTTTCTTGGAGGAAAATCCGCATTTGGTAAGGACCATTTTCATTAAATCAAAATGTATAAAAACAAAAGTCAATTTGACAGTATTCAATTGTTTTACTATATTTTACACTTTGTATCAGTATTTGTTTTCATAAAACATTGATGGCAATTAAATCAACTATTATAGTGTTGTTTTTTTACTCTGTTGCAGATTGACATGATTGTTTTCACTGTGTTTTTGGACAATGATAAGTTGTTCTACGAAAAATATTTACAATTCTTTTTCCCTCCGAAGTAAATAAACTTTCCTTTTTTTTCGCTATCTTTAATTTATCTTAAATTAGTATCTGTATTTATTAATAACATTAATTCTGTACTTAATGTTGACATAAGCTGATATATTTTTATGGCTATAAAAATATATTTATTTCATCTTGGGTTAAATTTAATTTGTGTGATACTTTTTCAATTAATAAACTTTAGTAATTTTATTTAACATTTAAATTTAGATCATCAGATTTATCTTATAAAATATATTTAGAAAAATAGTTGTTTCTGTCTAGTTCAATAAATTGTAACTTGCTGCATGTGTGGTATTTTTTTTTTAATATTTAAACGTATATGCCATATTTAATATTTTTAAGTGTATTAATGTAATATTATATAAAGAATGTCGTAAGCATTTTTTCTTCTATGTGTGTTTTTATTTAAACTAATAATTGTTTGAAGAATTTCTATTCCAATATTTAAACAATAATAGTATAGCATTTAGGTTTCAAATACATAAGAGTTGTGTACTCATTAATGGATATGCTAAAAAAAAATGTATGTAAATTTTATAGTACAAAAACTATCTTTAGACAATGTCATACTATCTTATAAGTTAATATAGAAATAACACAATGTTTGAATGTAATATTATTCTTAAATAAATAAAAACCTTATAAAATGTATTACTGATGTTTTTTGTAATTATAAACCACTAATGAACAGATACATAAAACTACAAATAAGAGTAGTCTTATGAAATAGTTGTGTCATAGTTTTAATAAAATACTTAGCTTTCAATATTATACATGTACCAATTAAAGCCTATACATTATATAATGTATAGGTATGCGTTTGAGCATTTAATAGTTAACAAAAGTTTACTGTAAACTATTTAAAAAGATGTACACATAACTGATAACTGATAACACAATATTAACTATTGTGATTATTAATTTTTATTAATTAATATATTATCAGAGATGGGCAAAATAGTTACCAAAATGCATTTCAAATGCAAAATTGCATTTAAAGACGTGTAAAGAAATTTCCGAGATTTTATTCGTGTAAAGAAACGTTTTTACTCCCAGTTTAAATTAGGTAGTCATAATAAACACAAAATGTATAAGTAAAAATAAAAATTATTTTTTCTAAGTATTTAATTTGGAATCAACAATTTTATCAAAGATAAAAATATAAAATGCAATTTTGTACTTTTAAATTAGGAGAAGGTGGTGGAATGTCGGACATTTAAGCAAGAGTTAAAATATCTTCGGAACTATAAGTCCAGATTTTTCGTTTTTTCATAAAATCGAACTATCGAGTTTTTTCGGAAAAATATTCCAACAAATCACTTAATTGGTTGGAAAAAAGTTGCTTATCATTTTGAAATATTTGGTTAGGTAGTATTATTTTTTTACAACCCCCCCCCCCCCCCAGAGCAATATTAAATGTTTTTGACAATTTGTCATCTTTAGATAATTTATAAACTAAAGATGAAGATTTGATATAAATTAGGAGAAAATTGTGCTCTTAATTGGATGTTACAGTACAAACTGATGACTTTTTCAACATGATACAATTGTACTACCTAATTGAAAATACAATTTTTAAAATATGTGTTATAATACTTATAAGCACTGGCTACATGTGGATTTTTTTTTAAACAATTTAATGGAAACATTACAGCACATAACTTGAGACACGAATTTAAAAGTTTTCCAACAAATTGTATTTTATTATTATTATTGTTGTTTATAAGAAAGCATGGTTAATGTTTTACAAAATCATAAAACAAGAAAAAAAATATGTACATTTGAGTGGTTTTGCTACTAAATTTATCAACTAGTAAGTTATTTTATAGGAATTCAAAATTCCTAAATATTGGATTTTTGAGGACAATATTGTAGTTTTGCGACATTGTACAGTGGACATTTTTCATTTTACCGTTATTTATCAACCAAACAAAATACTCCGTTGTTACATCTCTACCCGGCACCCCATTTTACCTATTCTTCAAACTTCATTGTTCGGTCCCCTCTATCCCTTTGAGACTTATTTTCGCAGTGTATTGATGCAGAAACTATTGATTTTAGCATTATGTCTGCCCGTCGGCCATCTGCCGGATTTTAACGTCCCCCTTTGAGGGAATATACCATATATATATACATGACTACATAAACTCCCAGGTCGCCAGCGGCTATTTTGTACGCAACAATCAGCTGCCAGATACCAAAGACTTTATAATAATATTTTGGATTTTGGAAAAAATCACACATTTGCCAGGTTTCTAATATCTCACCGACTTTTCCGCCAGGTTGGCCAAACGATTTTTTACCGTCGTCCACGCCGAGAGAATATTATTATCGGTCACGTTGGCAAAGTGTAATCTTTCGGCGCCAAATAAGGGCTGAGGGGTCGTACACTATTGACCCGTTTCGAGGGGTGAACGGACCGAGGCCGTTCCCCTGGGAAATGCGTACATTGTGTAGCCTGTATCTCTATTGTAATATAACTTCTAGACTGAAGCGCAGTGTTGTAGAAGTGTGTATAATGCTATTACAAATACGGTATATTGCTTTAAATTGTTTTAAATCACGGTATATTGAAATCATTGCTACCCATATAATAGCTGCCGAGCAGCTGTTCACCCCCATCTTTGTCGAAAATTAGTTTTTAACATGGTTGAAAATATATACGGGTTATTCACATCTCAAAAATAGTAGCGCGAGGGGATATCAATTTTACTATATACTTTATTATTAGTATACCAATTTTACTGTGTACATATTATAAACTTGATTATAGCTCCCTGTACGCTGGCATATTTGTTTTTATCATCGAATATATATTGGGTATATGTGCAATAACCTTGTACCTATATTTCAATCATGGTGTTTAATAATATTTTACTGCGTCAACTCCCATATCGTTACGAGTAATTTACGTATAAATATCGATGATTAAATATTCAGCATGAACGCCATTAACAGGTGTATGAAGTTATTGTCAGTAGTACAAAGCGACGGTTTAAATAATATATTATGACGTTGAATAAAATATGGATTAATATAAAATCTAGAACCCCAAGTAATTTCCCAACAGAAGAGAACAGAAAAAGTACTGTATTTTTATTTTGACTGTCCTGTAAAATTACAAAAATTTCGTTTACTATCTTTTGCCGAATTATGTAAGCACTTTCTTTCTTTTAAGGACAACTCAACTGTGCGTCATTTAAGTAGAATGGGGTGGCAATTCTACGGGATTATACATGAGTCTTTGTTATATATTGATTTTGTTTTTTTCAGTTGGTATTCGTGAGTAGTTGTACTGCCCTCGTGCGTATTAACTACGTTGCCTTGCCCGATTGCTGCCGCTTGTTCAAATACATTTGGTAAGTTCCATATTATTAAGGGTTGTATTATTTGATTTAAGGCGATTGCATGCGGTCTGTTTTTAAGGAGTTTTGTGTAGGCAATATTAAAGAATAATGACGTTTTAATACATTTTGACTATGCCAATTAATTTACCGGTTAATTTGTACAAACTTCAGGGTATTATTGTAGTTTAAATACATTTTTTTATGAGTGAAAGCCATCTTTTGGTTTTTCTAGACCAAAAAGCCAGACAAAATGTCGACTACATAGGACGGTCCAATTTCAACTCTGTAAAGAGATTCAAGTTCTTTGGCTACTTGTAATTAAATAAATTATACTTGCAACTTTTACAGTATAAGAATTCAATTTGTATACATAAAAAAAATCAAAAATCTGTTTCCTACATAACCTAGTAAAGTTGCCAAAGAACGTGAATATCTTTATAGAATTGAAATTGGACCATTTTAAGTATTTGACATTTTGACTGGCTTTTTGGTAAAAAAAAACTGACTGCATGCAATCGCCCTTAAACTTTTACCATACAACATAATTCTAAATAAGTATTTTCAATACCTATTTACCTTTTTTAAAAGTGCTAGACGTGTATGGCTTTTCGTCACATATGTGTTGTATATCATTGCTTGACAAGATTTTTTCCAAAAATTGTGTAAAATATTATTATTTATTTATTAATATTATAATTATTTAGATACGTTTGTACATGCTTGGAGTCTTACAATTAATTTAATTGTATGGGTTGTAATAAAAAAAATTGCTCTTATGCAATAATTCTATAACAAAACTGTACTTATTTTGTAGTCTATATTATAAGTTAACGCAAAAAAAAATTATTTAAGAATTGATATTATTTTTAAAATACAATTATTCAAAAATAAAATGTGGGTGAGACCATTGATTATGTAATAGACATTGTCTATTACATAATCAATGGTGAGACGAATGGCCTATAAAATGACAATATTAGTAAACGAACAAAATCCTGGTTGAAATTGTTATAAATATATATACATATATTTATTTATTTATTTATTTATATTAACTCAAACATAGCACCTAGAAATTTACTACGGTCAAAGTACACATTTTCCATTTTTTTGGTTTTTCTTTAATAAAACAAATCTAAAGAATATTCCATATTGTGCTGTAATTTTGAGTTGAAAAATATGTAAATTTGTTGGCTGTTTTTTTATAATTTTGAAGAGAAAGGAGTGATTTTTTCTACTTCTAACACACCAAAGTACCAAACTCATACGATTATGGATAGATAGAGTTATTACTCTATTAAATTGGTCAACGGGGAAAAAAACTATCATAACAGCGTTAGGCACAAAAAAAAAATATCATTGTAAAACTAATACCTTCTCAGTTAACTCGTTGAAGCTAAAATGTAAAATATTTTTAAAAACATAATTATTATAGTAATGCACTTGAGCATTCAGTCGTTTTTTTCTTATAATCAATTTCACTGAATTACTAATTTAAAAAAAATGTATTAACCATGTAGTTTATTGTACATTAAAGTACACAATTTCTTATTTAAATTAAATTATAACAACATTTTAGAAAAATAAGTAAAAAAGTATATATCTAAAAATAAATAAGTACGTCTATAACATTTGGTAGATAGTAATTTCTTTATTAATAACTGTAGGGCGCCGCACCCAAATTAAGTATGTATTTTCTAACAAAATAAAATAATATAATAAACTTGTTGCTTATCTGCTACAATGGGCACAGCAAGGTTAAATCGGAGTAGTTATTGGAATTATTATTATTTTTTTTTATTGTTTATATTGTTCAAATATTATGGTTTTTTTAGTTGCTGACAAACGAATCACTTTGAAAATGCTCAGGCGTGATCTTACTAGATTGGAACTCACCGAAGAAGACAAGGAGATCTTGGCTCAGCTCCAAAAAGAATTGGAAGAAGCCAGAGCATCAAGAACTGAGCTAAACAAAATGCTTATGGACCACAGGAAGAACAGAAAACAATTCGTTCCGAGACCCAGACGTTTATAATATATATATATATCCGATTAAATGATTTCTCTAATACTAAATAATTTAAATACATCATATTTCAACATAATATTATAACAATAATATGCTTCTTCATAAACTATGACTTCTTGTTTCGCTATGCAGTTAACCATAAAAAAAACATTATTATGTTTAAAATTCTATAATAGGTACTTTTTTGTCTTCCAAAACTGTATAATTTTTTTTTATTCTCACAGATGTACACAACTTTTTCTTTAAAAATTTGTATTGTCAGTCAATAAAAAATGAAAATTGCTTAAAACCGTATACACTATGTTATTATTATTTTCTATATGAGTCAATATGACATCACTAACAATTTTTTTTTAACTATATCGACTTTTCTTATAATTTATGGGTTTTTACAACACAATTTAATTTTTTTAAATGTCATTGTCCCCGTTTTAATTCTATTGTAACTGTACATAAATATAATTTGTGTGATAACGAAAATTTTACAATGCTTTTTTTTATAATTATTTCCTTAATGTAAAATTATTACCAAATAAGCTTGAAATATCCAATTTATTAAATCTCAGTGGAAAGGTAAATTGAATTAGGATAAACCAAATGCAATTTACAGTTAATTTTTTAAAATCACACACTGAAATAAAGGATTGATTCCTTTCAAGAAATGAACGGTTCCATATTAAACTAGTAAATAAATTCAACAAAAAAGGTTAAAAACGTTTTTGTACAAATAAAATATATTTTCTCTCGTGTGTACAAAAAATGGGATATGACATGTTTAGACAGCCTAATTACATTTTTACATTGCTACAGTTTTATAGTTCTGTTTTTTACCTTGAAGGTAAGTTAAATAAGTTGGTAATCGAGGTATAGAGAGTGAAAATGATTTTTAGATGAAATCATAACAAAAATTACGTATACTTTGATTTCAACGATGAACCCATAGAATTACAAAGCAATAAGTTAGTATGTATTACAAATTGAAGATATTGGTAAAAAGTTCAACTTCTTCAATTTTTTGTACAATAACATAACATTATGTAGTGGTCTATCATAATTGCAAATTAAAATTAATAAATTATATTTAAACTAAAAATTCTATATATATGTTTTTTATATATTATTTTTTTCAAATTTCGCATCAAACGACGAGTACCTAGAAAGTTAAAATAGAAGAACATCACCCAAGAAAAGACATTCTCCTCAAAATGTTAGAGTACAAGGTACTTAAAGCTATCTATTTTTATGAAAATGCAATATTAATATTTATTTTTGTTTTGTTTTTTGTTGTAGCTGAAACAACATTGAATTTTGTGTTTTTGTGTTGAAAACATCAAACAGTGAATATGCCTGTTGTAGAACATGATAGAATCTGTAAACCTGAACTACAAAGTAAATTTAAAGATGTATCGGTATAAGTTACAAGTGGTGATATCTTTAGCCCAATTTTTAAACATGATTGATAACCAACCAAAACTTGTCACTATGACTGGTATACCATAATTTACTTTGTTAAGGTCTGCCCGGCTTTGCTTTTAAAATATGTACGGTTCCATATCTGACGACTTAAATAATTTCAATAATGGATACATGTTTTTTTTTATGTACTAATATAATTATTAGATCCACCTTGTGAGTGTACCTATACAAACAATAGAAATATATTTTTGGCCAACTAGTCCATTAGAGGTTTAAGGTATTTATACATCACTCTTGTGACCTGTGTTATTTTTTTCTCTGTCAAATGTCAACTTATATTTTAGGTATAATAATAATAATAATAATATTCAATCAAAAATTGTAAAACCGCTTTTAAATGTAATGACTAACCATATATATTTCCCATATAATGGCCTTTTAAAAACTATAGTTTAATAAGGGTCATTACATTATAGTACATATTATACTAAATTTTTTTTTTGTTTAACCCTAGGATACTCGCCTGGCTGTAGTAATCTCTAATTGATATATCAATTGCATTACTGTAATAGGTTACCTAATTAATGTGATATTAAGAGCTATATTTAGATCTTTATCAATGAAATAGTTACAGACATTGTAAGGTTTATATTATTTTAATAATTAATTTGCATAGGTATAACTATGTGATAACAGATAAGTAAAATATAATTAGGAAAAAAAAATTCCCTTGTAGCTAAAACATATTTTGGTCAAAATTTGTATTATATTGATTGTTTTTACATTATTATAGTTATAGAATTTATTTACATAAATGTTATATAAACATTTATATACATTATATTATTTTTTTTATTTATTAGAAAACTGATGTATGTATACAAATCAATTGTATATTTGATCTGTAAATAATTATAATACCGCTTATTATATGTTATTATATTTTAATGTTCAAATAAAGCCAAAAATGTTATTAACACATTTTTTATACAAAAAAAAAGTATTGTTTTGTATTACAAAAATAATTTGACTAAAAATCATTAGATCAAAAAACATTTTTTTTTAAATATTAATAATAAGACAAAATTTCAATTATTTTAAGCTCTACTAACTCACTTTAAATTAGTATAATTTGTTTTTAATGTTCTCGCGGTAAAAACCTTTTTTGAAGAACTATATTTTATTAACTATTAATTTATAACTATAAATATTTGAATATTAAATATTTAAATTCAATGTAAATTTAAAAAATGTACTCGTGTCAAAAAATCTACAAAAATTAAAATTAATAGATAGTAAATTTAATAAGCAGGACATTTATAACTAATAGCCTTGTAATTGCAGTTTTAATGTTAAAACTATAAAATATTTTTTAAACAAGTTTAAAATAAAGTCACTTGGGAGGTTTACAATAATACAATATAGGTATATAAAAAAAGAAAAATGTTGACAAAAATGTAATACGCCATGTTAAAAATATTATTTACACTTAATTAACATTATATTGTATACAAATGTTCCACCTAAGTATTTATTATATTCATCTATTAAACATTTATTTTGATAGAGAGAAGGATGTAATTACCAATTTAAACAAAAAAATTATGAACACTCATAGAACCAGTGGTATGAAAATATTAATCGAAGACAAATATATGTAATTTGTGTATGTAAATTACACAGTTTGTTGTCGATTTGGCATCTCCATTTCTCCAATGAATATGACCAACTCATCTTCGTCTTCAGGTAGACGGTTGTCATTTTGATTATTATCTATAAAGTATAAAGAGTTAAAAAGTTTAAAAAAAAAAATATTAATACATAATCAACATTATGTATACAATTATACATAATTATTAATGATAATTTGGCTATACAAATGACCATGATTTTTTTTTTCTACAGGAGATCTTATTTTATTATTTAAGTATATACCTAGGTACAGATGGAACATAAGCTAACGTATTTATAGATTGCTTCAATAGCATTCTAAAAAATAACATTACATTTTATTTATTTCAGTCTTTTAAAAAAAAATAAAATGCAAGAATTGTATGCAGTAACCAGATATGTCCAAATTTAAAAATTGTTTATTATAAAATGTTTCCAAAAGATTAGCATAGTTATATATAGAAAAATTAAGAACGCGGTACCATCCTTTTTGTAAGAATAAAATACATTATTTAAAACCATTTTATTTTGTCTATACATACCATATTAATGATGACAGTTTGAAAAAAACGGTTACATACAGTTACAACCAACTATAATGCAATTAATTTAGTATTTATCTACCAAAATCATGTATGTAAAATAATATTATGTAAGTATAACTATAGAGGGATGCTAATAAGCAATAATATTTCACCTAATCTAATCAATTTATTTTATACTAAATAAACAAAAAAACACTATACTTTTATAACTGATTATTGCACCGGATAGAAAACCAAAACTTCAAAAGGAGAGTAAGGTTTAACTGAAGTTTAAAAACGGGTTTTTAATATTTTATTTCAATACTATTCGGTTTTTGCACCGATCGATACAAACTGTTTTAATATTTCTATTTAAAACATTGATTATGGAAAAATAATGGACATTACTGCAACGATGCCTGCATTCGGTAAGTTCCACCAATTATAAGTAGTACAATGTCTGGCTATTAAGTAAGACAATTTTTTCTATTTATCTAACAATTTTTTTGTAATATTTACCATTGTCGACCACAGGCTTTTCTTGTTCTGTCTGTACTGGTCCAGGTGTGTTGGCTGGTGATGCAACTCGGTGAACCGGTATAACTGCATGTAGAGCTGGGACTTATGTATAATGAACACATTTTTGGCTTAAAACATTATTACTTCAAATATACAATTCGTATATTATATTATTTTATTTTGTTAGAAAAAAAATACGTTCAACTCAGATGGCGCCAAATAGTCGTTTTTAAGAAATTGCTATCTACCAGATGTTATAAACGTAATTTTTTTAAGTAGGATACATTTTTTACTTATTTTTCCAAAATGTCTGATAATTTAAACTATATAATAAAAAATGTACAAAAAAAAATTAGTTATTAAAGGATTAAAATATTAATATAATTATTATCTAACTTACTATTATTATTTTTTAAAAGAATTAAATATCTAAAATACCAAAAGAGGATAATATTACCCGTTTACACAACCGGGGATAGGATTTACTCACTAATGTCGCGGAAGTAGCCAGGCACTTTAAAATCCATGACCGCGCTTGTCAGGCGAGTCAGGCTCCGTAATCCAGGGAGTTTCCGGGACTCGACGGCCATCCATGCCGCCGTGGACAATATATACGACGTGCGGTGGGCGGGCGTGATACCGTCAAATATGACGTATACGTTGCCCAATTCGTTGGGCACGACGCTGTGGTCGAACATTTCGCGTTCGCACACTTTCAACGTGAACAACGTGAACGCGTCCAAGAGCAGCCGGTTGCGGACAATGCTGTGTTTCTCGCAGTCCACCAGGTGAAAGGCCAAATAAGGAATAGCCTGGCGCCACGCGCCGTCCGGATTTTCTGGCGAATACACGCACGAATCGTTAAAGTACAGCGCCAACGTCATCGGGTTCAACTGGTCCGTCTCCGACTTGGGCCAATTTTCGCGTACGTAGTCTACGTTGAAACAAGTGTCGTACCGCAAGAATTGATTCGAGTACGAGTACGTTTGCGATTCGTCGTCCAGCTTTTCAAATAAGTCCTGTTCCAAGGTGTCCAGGTGGCCGCTCATCGTCATGAACACCCTGTCGAAAAGCAGTCCGGACATCTCAACGAAAGACATACACATGCCGATCACTTCCACCATCTTGATGAGGTATTGTTTGTTTTTCAGGTCGACCGCTTCCCACACTTGGTTTATTAGGAAGGTAAAGATTTCCGTCGAACACACGGCTCGCAGTGCGGCTTCTTGTGACAGGCCCACCTCACGGGTCAGCTCATTGAACCTTTGAATACGTTTCAACAGCGTGTCGGCGTCGGTAGTGTCCTCGTTGAGGGCCACATAGTACGTGTTACCTGTTGAATAAAAATAAATAAAAAAGTTGGGCCTTTATCTGATTTGTGGTCAATACGTTTTGAATCAAAGACATAGAGATAAACCGTTCCGGAGGTGGAGATGGAGTTGGAGATTAAGATAGAGTTGAGATGGAGCTTGAGATAACAGCTTGCGTACGAGTCCGCAACCACGGGAGACATTTTATATCCGCAGGAGGATATAATGATGTATATAAGGTTATAACTTATAAGGATATAAGGACATAGAAGGATATTAGGATATATATATAAGGATATAAGGATATAAGAATATTACGATATATATATATATATATAAAAGGATATTAGGATATACAGGGTGATCAACTTATCGTGAAACACTCAATATCTCATAGGGTTTTATAACAAATTAAAATTTTTTTTATTCAGTGTAATCTCAATTTTTCACATTTTTTTTTGTTTTTGCCCTCCTCTCAACTTAGGTTTTTTGACAGCAACTTTCGAAACTTAAATAGTAATGTATATATTTTATTAACTTTTTAAATTTACAATAATGTATTAACAATTTTGACTGGTCGATAACCAGTCTCGGATAACTATTTTTGAAGTTATTGAAGTTTCAAGTTTCGGGCAGGAGAAAAGGTGGGGAGTAGTATTATTTTTATCTGCGCGCATTTCCCAACCGCACTTCCCCTTCAGTCCTAACTTTAAAACTCTTATAACTTTAAAAATGATTATCCGAAACTGGTTAACGACCAGTAAAAATTAGTAGTACTTTATTCTCAATTTAATAAAATATATACGTTACCTTTTAAGATTCAAAAGTTGCTATCAAAAAAACTAAGTTGGGAGGGGGGTAAAAACAAAAACAAATGTGAAAAATTGAGATCACAATGTATAAAAATATGAATTTCCTGTACAACCCTATGAGATATTGAGTGGTTCGCGATAAGTGGAACACCCTGTTTATATAAGGACCGTTAGGTTTTTTGGTAACGCTGTAAAAACTGTTGATTTTTCCGGTTGTGTGCCAAAGAAAAGACATAAAATGTCAATAATTATGTAATTTTTTGACGAGTTATAACCAGATATATTTTACGCCTACAACAATAATATGCTATTTTCAATATATGATAATAATATAAAGTATTAAGGTCTATTCCCACTAGCCCGGGACGTGTCAGGGCCGGGTCCTTGTCAGTTTTTGGCTCGTCCGGATCGGCCCGGTCAGGTATTCACACTATTCAGTGTCCGTTAGTGTAAATAAAATATTTTGTCATCAGTTGAAGTCGGACATCGAAATTAGTAACCACGTGCTAGTTGCCTACTTATTGTCGAGTGAAGTTAACCTAAGATTTTAGCGGAAGTATTATTATTTGTTTATAATAACTGTGGTGTATAGGTATATCAAACGATGTTCGGCCATCGGGCCATGGGACCTATTGGTCTATTATAAACAAACATACTATCCCTCTATAATTAGTATATAATTTTGTTTTAGTTTTAAAATTCTAAAAGATTCCCTATTACCTACTCTTATGTTTTAGACATAACCCATAAGTCTGCAAGCAAAGAGTTAGCGGGTTTATTTAGTATTGCTTATGCCGTGTACGCGTGTAAAATAATAAGTATTATAATAAATAACAAATAATGAGTGATATTAAACATAAACGCAAACGTATTAAACTCGAGTTTTAAATTAAAGATTTTAATAATAATTTGAAATACATTATTTTTTATAAAATTATTTAAAATAATAGGCTATTTGGAACAATAAAATAAAAATAATACATTTTAAAACACACCAATACCAATACCGATAAAACACACATACAGCATACTTACTGTAAATACTACCGATAGCCCGAAATTTTGACCTATATATTTGTAATTTATATACAAACATATAGTCCATATGATATAAGAAAATCATTAACTCAGAAAATACCTATGGGTATTTAAAAAATTTTTTTTTTTTTTGTATACTTGTCGGTATATATTTTACTATATTTTTCAATACCTTTAAAACTTAATACTGACAATTTTTATCTTCGTCCCGTATACGTCAAATAAACACGGACTTTCCAAATGGAAACATATGTTTTTAGCTCCTAAATAATATCATTGAGTATGTATTGTATATATATACTATATATTGTATACCTATATAATATTGTATATATAGTATATATATACAATATATACTCAATGATAATATGTAGACCGAAGACAATGTTTTTTATGGATATGTTTTGCTTATTTCACATGTCCGGGAACCCGGAAAGAGAATCGTCGACAAAGATATTTTTTCGACCTGGATCTGGCACGGATGACCGGCCCGGACTAGTGACAATGGTCACGTTTACCAAAAACACAATAGATAATTGTTGTCTTGCACCCGGACAGATTCCGACACACACCCGGCCCTGTCACGTCCCGGGCTAGTGGGAATAGACCTTTAATGGGTTTAAAATGGCAAATATGAACGAACGTTTGGACCGACCCTCGCCGTTTTTTTTGTTGAAAATGACACATCATCTTTAAACTCGTCCAAGATTTTTAGCCGATTGTAATAAAGACATATAATTGCTTATTTTGACATTTTAAAATGCATATTTTATTACATTTTTGAATGTACGGAATTTCTGTAAACGTGTGACCTTCCCGTCCCCACACAAAAGTTGGATTTTAATATTGGAAAAATTGAAAATTTAATTTATATAGTTATATAAAAAAACTGTAACTTTCAAGCTTATCCAAATTAACCGGTAAATAAATTGACACGGTCGAAATGTATTAAAGCATTTTTTTTCCTTCTTATATATTGCCTATAACTCCTTTATAACAGATCTCATGCAATGAGCCTTTAAGTCTTAAATGTTTCTACCCTTTCCGACTCCAGACTGGGGCCTAATCCCGTTAAAAATATTACGCCTTACACTGATAATAATAATAATAACAACAATAATTAATTACCCAACTCGTCGTTGAAAGATATGGGCACAACGTCTTGCGTCGCCATGCCGTACACGTCCGAAACGTGTTCCCGGAACATGTCGGCCCGGATTGATGCCTTCCAAAGTTTTTCATTGGCTTCCACGAAAGGGTCGTCGTGTTTCTTTATCAGCGATTTGTCCGCGTATTTTTCTTCGTCGGTCATCAACCTAACGATTTCGAAGTCGTCCGTCTCCGGAACGGTGGTCCAAAAGTAAAGCGCTCCTTTAAGACGTCTATCGCTTCGTCGGCTGGGCCAACGCAATGCGTCGATCTCGGTGTACTTGTCCGAATACTTGTGCTCGGCCATCGAAGCCATATTATAATAAGTAATCGGTGTGAAAACGGTATGAGAAAAAAAAACAATGTTAAACGGTATATAAAACAAACGATTAGAAAGAAAATTCGCAGTTTAAAAAATGTAATACTACTTTTGTGCAGGGTAGATAGGCACTCGCCGACTGTCGTTCACAAAATGCACGGTGCACGACTAGCCTTTGGGTAGATGGGAAACGACCCCTGTTTGCGCTCCCTCTGTGCGGGCGATGATCTTTGTGTGGGGGGTGAGAGCAGCCGCCCGGCTGAGCAAAACATCTGGCAAAATCGCTTATGCCCGCCAAAGAGCATACATAAAAATTTAATCGATCGCAACTGTTTTAACGCGAACGAAATTCCGGGGATAATAGTTAAAGTTTACCTTCAATTATTAGGATATCCATAAAATCGCTTGGAAACACACAAAAAAAATTTAAAAATTCAAAGAAAAGCGGCCACAGCAATAAAAATAGTTGAAATAATTATTTATGTGTAAAGATATAATAGTTTTCCGGTTTTTTTTAATTTGTAATTTACACGTCAAAAAAAAAACCAAAGCTACTTTTCATTTCCGTGGACAAAATAATCGAAAAAAAATTTAACAACGCTCTTTTTGTCATAACATAAATGTAATGTAAGTTTTAAAAAAAATCATATTCATATGCAAATTATTATTGTTTATTTATTATGTAAACATAATACAACACAAAATTGAGGCACATAGAACCAAAACGGGTTAACCCAAAAAAGTGTACTTATTTTATTTTATTAAATCCACTTCAAGAAAAATAATAAAAGCTCTTTAGTGTAAAAAAATCCATGCCTTTTAAACAATCCGTAAAACATTAATCAACTTAAAGGCCATTTTGACATTGAAAATAATTATTTAAGTATCAATGCTAAAAACAGATTAAGTGCTGCCATCTACAGGAAAATAATCATTTTTGTAAGGGTTGCACCATATTAGTTTTGAAATAATATAATATCACATAAAACGAAATTAAATTTGTTGTGAGTTAAGTTGTTTTCAGTTTTGGTTATATGCGCCTCAAATATATATAACAATAATAAATAAACTGCTTATAATACTAGTATTGTCATTTAATAAGCTCATTGTCATCGCTGTGATTCCAGCAAATTGTCTCTTAAAATTTCTTTCTTATTATTTTTTTCTTGTATGTTTTGGCATGTTTTGCACACTTTTCCCAATCATATTTTTTTTTGTATGGAATTAATGATTTGACCCGTTCTCTGAGTTCAACTAGTGTTCCTTATGGAGAAAAATTACCATTTTTTTTCAATCTTAAACATTTGATTTTCTGATATTGCTTTTTTTGGAATAAAATATACGAGGGCCAAATGTAATGGTGCATTATTGATACTTTGACTACAATTAATAAAAGTTTTCTCGTTTGAAATGTGCTTTAGTTATTACATTTATTGATGTGTTTAGAAAAGCTAAGACATTTTGGAATATATCCGTACACATTAAAGTGTAGTATTAAATTTAAATTTAAATAATTATTTGAAGAATAATTTTGGATGCCTCACTGTGGCCACCTCTACCCTACTTTAAAATAAAATATATGTACCTATTTAATTTGTATTAATATATTGAAATATTAAATTGGATACGGGTCGCGACTGCGTAATCAACTAAAATAATTAGTATTACAAATAATTGCACTTTAAATATGTTGGTACCTTTATAGACCTTATAAGAATTAGACCTTATTAAGTCTATGGTATCTATTTGAGTGGCTGTTTGTCGAGTGGCTACGTGTTGATTTTTTGTGGCTATGTGTCATGCTCCCTAAATTACACGATGAACTACGAAATTTTGTCGTAGATGATTTGTATTTCGAAATTCTAGTATAGAAGCACACTCTTGTGTTTCTGTAAACAAAATGGAACAAAACATGTACTTGGAAGCAACACAATGCGCATTTTGTCCAATTGAATGGGTTTTTTTTTTACTGTAATAATTATGTAAAAAGTTAAGAAAATCTGAAACAATGCAATACAACAAAATCATATTTATTACACATTGTGTAAATGGTTGTAAGAAAAAAGTGTTTCAGTAATGAGTAAAAATTACAAAATTGAAAAATATGAATTGTGATTTGAGTTTATTGATATTATTTACATTATCTGTTATCACAAAACGACATCGTTATCTCGCCATTGATAATCATAACACTATGTACATTATTATTAATTTTTTTTCTTTAAGTAAACTATTAAACTAAATCCTACTCTGTAATTATTGTACTTATTATTGTTATTTAACTACAAATAAATTAAAACTATTTGGTGACAAAATATAAAGAAAACGTTCAATCCGATCAGTTTGACGGTGACCACTTATTTTCCAGCTATCCAACTGTCGACAGAAATATGTCGCAGGAATACTACAACCTGAGATTTGTGGTGACAACTCCAACCCTAGCAGTGACCGAGTACAATTGTCAGAAAGAACCCTGCGATCAGGTATATTTTTCTTTGGACGGGTTTGAATTTATCCAGAAATAATATTATATCATTCAAGTGTTTTGCGGTTTGAGTGTCATCATTGCGACAGTTAACATTCTTATTGTTGGGAAAAAATTATCGTTTTAAAATAGAACAGTTCTATCAAAATGTAATGTTTTAAGTGCCTTGCATAATCTTAAATGAAATATCACACAAATGGGGCATATTACGGCAACAGTAGTTGGTAACTTTTCTTACTTTCTTATTTTATATAACCACTAAAATTGACCAAGTAAGAAGATCCGGTATTGTTGAAACTTTTGTTTTATAAAACAATTTTAATTTTACAAGGAACAGATAATTTTCACCTCTTCTCAGACCGCAACAAACTGACTTATCGCAACTGACCAATCTAGCAATTTTCTCAAAGCCGTTTAGTTTTGGCTTCTTATCAGAGGTAATGTTTTATTATCAGAGTTGGCAAAAAAAATCTCCAGTTTTGTTTCAAAACCAATAAATGCTCAGTACTTAACCGAAAGCATGGGGTTTACAGGGTTGTGGATACCCATTGGAACTTAACTGGTCAAAAAATAAAACTCCCGGTGTATTTCCAACTTTCTCTGTTCCCTCTGATCCTGCATGACAAATACATACCTACTACATCAACTTAAAGGCAAAAATAGAAGAGTTAAATTGGTATTGATACCTTGTATGTTTCTTTTCACTTGAAATCCCCATTCGCAGATCTACTCACAATCGGACCCGAGAAATTTAATTTATCCAACAAAAAATAGTTTTCCACAAATTTTCTAAACAAAATATTTATTTACTACCTTTTGGATATGATTTATGATTGATATACTTACTAGTTGAATAAAACGGACCAACGGTTCTAAGAATACGGTGGGTATAGAAAAAACAATTATTCCAAGCTGTGAAACTAGTTTAAAAATATCAATTTATTTATTTTTTGTACGACAAATATATTCAAACAAATACATTTTTTTTATAATGCCCAGGTGTGCTCGTTGCTCTCGTTAAATTCTTTAAAAAGTGTGACAATACAAAAGAAAACAGCACTTCTTTACCTAACATAAATTCCTGACCCAAAAGTTTTTTATTTTTCTTAGTTTTTACTTTGATTCGTCTCCTCGTTAAACTATTTGTTCTGAAGAAACTGTTTGTAAGATTTATATTTTACCTTTTAATTTACCTGATCTATTCCTTGGCAAACTGCCTGTTATGAAATTAATAATATTTCAAAATGCTATGGTTTCAACTGTACAGTTTCATTTAAAAAACATTGAAAAACATTTTTATATCTGTCTTTTATAAAACCACAGTTTGTCGTTCTTTTTCTACACAATACTTCAATGATTTAAATGAATATAAACTTAAAAAAAAATTTAAGGGTTGATTAATTATGTCAATTGAAAAAGGTATGAAAAGTAATTTACCTTTAAAATAAGTCAAACCTGTTAATTAAAAGTCAATTGCACTAAAGATTACAAAATTGTATCGTATAATGTATTGTCTCAATAAGTAAGTGAGAATATGGATTTCTTACAAATTTACCACTTGGTCTCATTTGTTGGTAATGTAACAGTTTTAATTAGTCGCAAAATCTACTATTTAAGCGTGCTTATGATTCTTTTTTTTATAAAATATAAATTGACTTGTGTAAACAAACTTTCTTGGCACTTAGAATAAAACATTCTAAGTTTTCAAAACGAAAAGCCTGACCTAAATTATGTTTACTTTTCAGATTGGATTTCTAATTGGTGAAAAGAATGTAAAAGTATCAAATGTTATAACGGACGAATCGCTGAATAACACAATCACAGAAGAAACAATATGTAAGTAATACGGTTTTAACTTATAATAAAAATTAAATTAAATACAAGTTAACACTTAATGTCATTTCAGGTGTTCACGCGTCGTATCCTTTACCAGATTTTTATGAACTATTGTGTGTCAATCCCATGACCATTGACTTTAAAAAACTAAAAAACTTTTTACAAAAATGTCCAGAAAACTTTGAGGTAAATATATTATAACTGTGTGTACCACAATGAATAGTTTTCTGTTAACATTATTACCAATATTATATGTTCCAGAAATCTGTTATCGGCTGGTATAGGTTTAGACGAAACGCAGTGTTGACTCCGAGTATAGCCGACGAGCGATTCCATATACAACTTAGTAGTTTTTTCGACAAACTTTGTGTGACAAGTAGTAAATTCTTGCTCTGTATGCTCAACCACGATTTCACCGGATCCGTAGACCACAAATTCAATCACGTATTTTTCAGAAATTCTTTAGGGTAACTAACTACACTGAAATTTTTATTAAGTACACTGACTGACATTTTTTTTCGTATGTAATTTTAAGGTACCATGTTTATGTAATTTTAAGGTATATGTTTTTTTTTAAATTTTTACTAGCAAATGTTTAACGCCCATCAAAGTGGATATCGTCAACTTAAGCACCAAACCGTTCATCGAAAACGACAATCTCGGATACAAAACCAATATAAACTTAATTAGCAATTGCAAGTCGTACACAAACACGTTAAATAAAGTTTTCGGACCAAGGTAAAAATCATTGTACTTTGTTTGGTCATAAAAAAGTCGGTATAAATAATATTAATCAACTCTTCAATCTCGCTTTGAAAATACAACTCAACTATAATCTATTTTAACATGTTTCGTTGTGGATTTTTCAATCGTAGCCTGCTTCAGACAACATGTTCTAGTTTAAATAATATATGTCTTAATAGTTTTCTTTTTGTTGTTAATAAACATGAAATTTAATTAAGTAACTAATCATATTAAGTTATTATTAATCAATATGAGCTAATATTAATCATCGTAATAGCTTTTATCAATTTGTACGTAGACTTTTAATGGACAAGTAAGTCATATGTTTTATGAAGTTTCTCTGTTTTCGTAGGAATGATCACTGTTCAAAAACGACTGTGTACAATATGCGAACTGCTCTGATCGAAGAAATGGACAAAATGGTCAAACGAATAGTGGCCAACGAACTGGAAGCGATTAAACTGAGCAAAAGTATAGAAACCAAAAAACGGGAACTTGAAAAGAAAAAGAACGCCAGCTCCAATGCCTAACCTGCCGATGAATTTGTTTTCGTTTTATTTACGTTCATTATTGCGTAGTACGCGTATCTCAAAAAAAAATGACTATTATATTTGATATTTGTACATTTTGTTTAATCTACCAATAATTGCCTCTCATTTCACGTTTAGTGGATTATTTTGATAATATTGTCATGTATTATTGTTAAAAAATAAATGTTATGAAGTTACCTTTGAACTTGGTTGTGGCAATTTACTTGCTTTTTGTCAAATTGTATATATAAAATTATCATTTTAAAATTGAACGGTTTATTAAAATTAAATTTATAGGATTCATGATTTAAATTCTTCATCGGTAGTTCATGTGAACTTTTTTTTTGTTTGACATCTTGAAACCGTTGTTTTTAAATATTTTATGCTTACTCATAACTCATAAACATACATAATATGCTGTGTGTTACTAATTGTCTTTCTACTGATAGTTTTTTTATTTTTCCCAAAAAATACTAATTAACTTTAATTTTTGAGGTTTTTTTACCTTTAAAAACCAATATTTCTTTATTTTTTTCAGATTTTGTAACCCCAACAGCCCTAACTGTACATTTTGTAATTGTTCATAATAAATTATTAATTTTACTATAAGGGAATTGAAAGCGGTCTTGATTTTGGACGTTTTAAATCTAAAAGCCTGACAAAGTTACAACCTGGAAAAAAGCTCAAATATTTTTATAGAATTAAAATCCAATCATTCTAAGTAGGCGTAATTTTGTCAGGCTTTTGTGACTAAATTTGTTTGCGGTAGGAACAAACTGGCTTTAAACCATAGCGAAACAATTATACACGTTAAAACTATAACCATGAGCCAATTTTTCTTAAATATTGCCTACACATAACTCCTTAAAAACTGTCCGCTTTCAATCCCCTTAAAAACAAAAAAAAATGCCATGTTCTTTATGAAAAATAAATATAATAATATATAATATTTTATGAATTAACTACAAGGTATAGTTTTAACACATACGCCAATCTATGGCGACAATTGGTTTATATTGTACAGCGAATAGGCGTCGGCCTTTAGCTAGATAACCCGGACGAACTTCAACAACACGACCACACACCATTTCAGCATTTTGTCAATTGGATGGAGTATGAATTAACCTTTGTTCGCACTTACAAATATACAAAGTTTACACTATGCACCCGCCGTCGTTACCATGACACTACCGTTGTCTGTACGTTTTGCTGGCAGTCGGAAAATAAGTGCAACAACCCCAGAGAGGGCCAAACCTTATTGTTGCCTTCCGACTGGTTAATTCATAAGGAAATTACCTTCTCGAGCGATGCATTGCGAAATTAGTGATCCCGGGCACAATCCTTTTGGGGCAAATATAATCCCTTGGAGTTCCGCGGGGTGAAAGACGTTTGAGACGACCACGACCATGGAGGATCAGGTGAAAAATATTGTGGGAAAGTAAAACCGACAGCTGCCTGGTCTTTTTTTGGCAATTGACAGAGAGAAGTGACGAGAAATATGTCAAAAGGTTAAACACCTGATGAAATTGCGAATAAAACTCTTATTTCAAACACCTGAAACAATACACGTTTGAACGTTATAAACCTTCGAAAACAAAAATTCTAAGAGATTCGCTAATAAGGAACAAGGAGGCAGGAATTGGTCTATTGCACGGTATTACTGGTATTGGTCTACAACAGCTGTCTATTGTGCCAGCCGGACACAAGTATCGCCTATAGTTACGTGCATATCGAAATTGTTTGTTGCCGATTAACAGTCCACGTGAATGTGCTGGGATTGTATTATGATTTGTGTTTAAACAATGAAGTTGAGCTGATCGAACGACTACTGTATGAGGATCACGGTGTTGTTGGCCGAAAACGGTCGACAGTTTACCGTGGACGTTGGGAGTAAGAACCACTTGAAAGACCTGAAAGCCAAGTGTGCCAGCTTAAGTGGAGTTCCGACAGACCGGATACATTTGGCCCATCGCGGAAATCCTTTAACCGACCTTAAAGCCACGGTGGGCAAGTTAATCCGGAATGGCGGCGTCGTCGACATGACAGTGCTGCGAGCCGGTACGTCCGATGATAAGACGGTCGAATGTAAGTGGATAGGTTACATCGTATAGACAACAGCTGTTGTCATAGGTATGAGAATATCTAAAAATAACAGAGGATGTCATTGAAATGACATGGATTAAGATCATGATGAGAGATAACGAGAATAAAGTAGCTCCGTAAAACAGAATATATAGCTTTTTTGGAATACAAAGATATAGGTTCAGAACCAGAGATTACGAAACATTATTGTATGTGAATTTGTTTGCACTACTAATAAGACATTTTATTAACGATTAGGTATTATACCTCATTTTGGTCGATCAGGAAATAAGCAGGTCCCACATAAAGGCGCCAACATACGTCCAAATGCTTCATCTCAGATTATGTACGAAGATGCAAAATATATCAGACGCTTGTTGATCGCCAACCCCGACCAACTGGCTTTGATGGGCCAGAACAACCGGCGTCTGGCCGACGCCATGGCCACCGGCAGCGTAGGTACGCTATCCTTCGAATTTGATAAATTTCCAAAGCCTATTCCCTCGTGGGTGTGCCTTTTCAACTGTTCGTGTTGCAATAATACCGGTCACGGATGTCCTTTTCAAGTAGGTACTCGTTTTTTAAATCCACAACGATCTGTGCAGGAGAATTCGCCAAGGTGATGATGAGTCAGCTAACGGAGCGGAAGAAAAAATCCGAGTTGCTGGAAAAATTGGCAACGTCCAAAGCGTTTGACGCGAAATCGCAAAAACGAATAGCCAAAGAAATACTGAACGCCAACATCGATTCTAACCTAGAGGCGGCCTTAGAGTACAATCCCGAGTTGTTTGGTTCCGTGTTCATGTTGTACATCGACTGCAAGGTCAACGGTTATCCCGTGAAAGCGTTTGTCGATTCCGGTGACCTATTTGGTTTTCATTACCTCGAGGTTTCCTCGGTTGCGTCGAGCTTAACCGTGGTTATTGATCTGTCGGTAAACAGGAGCACAGACGACCATAATCACTGTGAACTGTGCCAAAAAATGCGACATCATGAGGCTGGTTGACACCAGATGGGCGGGCATAGCTAAAGGCGTGGGAGTCCAGAAAATCGTTGGCCGGGCGCATTTAGTTTCGTTGCAAATCGAAAACGATTTCCTGACCACCAGTTTTTCCGTGTTAGACGGTCAACCGATGGACATGCTGCTTGGACTAGATTTGCTCAGAAGATACCAAGTAAAAATGACCATTCTTCACCATTAAGTTAGGCCAAGCCCAGCACTCCAGGCGGCACATTGACCGCCTGGAATATTATTCATTCTGGTAAAAGGCAGAAAGGAAAATTACGGGATAAAAAATGTTAAAAAAAGATCAGTGGATACACAATGATGAAGAGTGAGGAACCAATGCTCATTGAAACAAGTTATAAAGCTGTTGATGCGAGTTGTCGTTCAACCATCCCTAGTGCTCTGATTCTACCTTTGATAATTGTATCAAATCAGACTTAAGATTTTTTTTTCGTCATGTCTCTAGTGTGCTATTGATCTGGCCAACAACGTACTCATCATCGGCACCACCGGTACTAAGACGCCTTTTCTACCGGAAAGGAAAGCGCCGGGAAACAAAAAACGTTCGAACAAGCGGAATCTCTACAACTGCGAACAAAACGAATTGAATTTTAGAGGTGACGACGTTATGAGTTTAAGTTCATAATTATTGGCTTCTCTTTTATATTCAGAAGTATCATCCAAGGGCTAAGGACAGTTGTATTGTTACAACATCTCAACTACGGGATAATCCACTTATCTGCCAAACCTCTCTGTCAACTCCAAACTAACTTATCTATCCCTAAGAATGCACTTGTTATCAAGTTGTTTTTATCTTCCTCTTTTGATTCCATTTTCCTCGTCCAAAGAACTTTAAATTGTTTAATACATATATATTATATATATTCAATAGACGATATGAACAATATCGACCGAAACAATGTTGTGACTTTGGAGACCTTAAAAATTAGCCACGAAGAAGTATGACCATCATCCGTTCATAATTAATTTGCATTATCTACTATACTGATAATATCTTATTTTATTCCTTCAAAGGCTATCAATGTACTCATCAGAGACAGATCTGCAGCAGGCGGCGACGACATAGCAAGACATACTTAATCGTTTTATGGTAAACTACTTATTTTTTCAGTAACAACAATAAAGAAATTATTCGTTTTACAAAATCCTGATTATTTATATATACTAATGATTATTACTAGCATCGTGAACAAAATAAGAGATAAATGTCATAAAAATGAGAAGTGAATAAAATTGCATTGGAGAAAAATTACTCAAGAATAAATTGGTCTTAAACAGAATACCTACTTACGGGTTAAGATAGCTGTTTAGACCGACAAATATTGTATACAATAATCAATACTTCGGCAAGCGTTTAGGTATCTACTTAATAACTGTTTTTTGAGTGCTCTCTAATCTAAATTAACATGAGTGAAAAGTCGAAATACGATTTTGTGTAATAAGCTGAAGCTATATCTATAATAGGTATACGCCCTGTAATAATATACCCTCGAAGCTTCTTTTCACCGAATTCAATCATACTTTTTCTACTTAATACAACTGATTCAAACTATTTAGAATTTGTTACACTATTTGCCATTTTCTCTCCAAATATAATAGGTTCTCTACCTCCTTTCAATCCAGCCACATAGAGCTCTTAATATTATTCAACGTATTATGTAGATACGTATTTAAGTGAAAAGTATTTACTGAAAAAGACAAAAATGAATAAAGAAAATCTATTCTAATTCAAAAACTTGGAAGTAACTTGGATTTTTTTATTTTATCGATTTAAAAAAATGTTGTATTGATTAATTAAAATGTGTACCTTAAATCAGAAGTAACTCATACTGTTTATTTTTTTTGCATTTATTTCCTTGAAATTTATGTTGTAGGTACGTTTTAGAAAATTACATGTTGTTATAATGTGTAGACTTACTACGAATTAAAATGTAATTCGTGGGTGAAAATTTTTTATTTTTTAGTTAAGAAACGTTCAAATTTATTTATTTGGCGCCGGAATTCAATGAAAATTCAAGTTGGTACCTAAATATTGAAAACTCAGTAAAATCTATAGCGGTTTTTAGATAGAATTAGCCTTCTAACCATATATATATATATATCCCAATTTATAAGTAGATCTCTTCAAGCAGTTATTGTGGACATATTTCCAGGTACAGAACAATACTCGAACAACGTTTTTGAAACATTTTATCCGTCTATTATCGTGAACAATATTAATGTATAATAATGTAGTATAAGGTTTGCATCATACGTACACTTTTCCCTTTATAAATGCTTATCGGCTGCTATCAGCTGACAGGTTTTCCTCTCGCGCACATATGTATATTGTGAGCCAATTATTAAAATCAATAACAGTACGCGAGCGTCAACGACCATATTGTTTTTGGCATTATTCGCCATTATGTAGTTTGCTCATGTGCTGCAATAAACGTTTTACCTGTTAACGTTGGAAAATTATCATGTTAAACTATTATAAAATTAAAATAAATAAACACAGTGTTTATTAATTGCTCAAAATACATAATCTTTGGAAACTAACATTAAAAAAACAATTAAAAGCTATACAGGTAAAAATTAACATTTAATATTCAATGATGTATTTGTATAAGCCGCAGTACTCAAGGTTTGTTTTGTTTTCTTACAGCAACAGTTTGCTGTAAAAAACCCGCGTGTTCTCTACAAACATTGTGTGGTAAGTACCTAAATTCAAAGTGTCTATTACAATAATTATTGCCAAATAGTTATTAGTAATTTCATACCCAGAGCCTTATGTGCGGTGTAAGCCACTTAAGTACGAACAAATTTGGCGTGTTGACTATCGAGCGATCTATGTAAACGTGGTATCTTTTAGTTCAAAACCTTACTATATAATCTTATTGAATTTTTAAAAAACATTTCTAACTACAGATTTTTGCCCAGCAAGTAACGGTGTAGGTTTTTGCCTGTCAATATTTTAAACTTGATTTTATTGCATTTTACACATACAATGGACATTAAAAATAACTTTAAAAAAACACTACCGAAAACAAGAACATATTAATACTTCATAATCCTTTTTCATTATCAACAATTTTAAGAAAGCCATTATAGAATTAAAAAAAAAATTGTGTTTTTAATTATTGCCAAAATTTGCGGGTATAATTAAAAATATATCTGTTTTTGTCAAAGCTGTGTTTCTTACAAAAAAGTTACTCTTTATAAAGAATAACCTATTTATTACAATTATTATAAATTATACTTCTTAAATAATTAAACTAAATTTTTTAACATTGTAATGGAGAATTTTTATTTTATTCTGAAAGTATGTATTGTTCATGAGTTGTTCATGAGTAATGCATAAAATAAACATATATTGTTATAAATTAAGTATAAAAAAAAATATTCTTAAAAATTTCCGCATTGCTAAATCTAAATATTATTAATCTATATTTTTGGTATTAATGGGTAATAAATAATATCATTAAAAATCTTTGAAAACCTCGGAAATCTGAAATGTGGTGTACAAATTATTTAATAACTGAGAGTAACTAAACGATTAATAAATACATTGATAGAAAATTAAGATTACCTATAACTGTTCAATGTAGGTATTAAACTATGTTCATGATGTATTATAATATGTAAAAACTTATTTTTACAAATAAACGTACTTCCGACGAATATGATATTATTGTTAGTAATTGAACTTCAACTCAAATGAATATTACTTTGAACTCTATTAATTCGAATCTGTAGTCAAATGTTCTCTAAAACATCAGTCTATGTTTCTATCTTGGCTCCATAATCGACTCCATCTTATTTTCCTTGCGGAAACATATCAAGTTCTTTCTTACTTTTCACGTGAGTCGTATCCATTCTTTTTACCAGTATGTACCACTATAATAATTGTGCTGTATACCACCCTAATACAGATAAATATGATGTGGATTGCCAAAATTGAACCCTCCTTCCATTGTTCACTATATATTGTTTCGGTTTACACTTTATTTTTAATGTATACATTTTACTGCCATTGCTTCGCAGCCTTTGCCTGTAAATCTCGGTTTATGCACTCCTAGTAGGTAAGGAATTTTAAAACGAGGCATTACACTGTACTATCGATTTGGGTTAACCCACCGAGCTCGATTGTGTATGAAAAGGGGATCGTTACCCTTCGCTGTACGACGCTAAACGTACCAGGAGCGCATAGGACAGAAATCGTCGTCAAAGGCTCGCCGGCATAGACAATGCCCGTTTTAAATCTTTTCGAAAAACTTTTAGCAATTTTTTCTTTTTTTATAATGAACTAGCTGAATTACCCGGCGTTGCCCTTTGGGTGTAACTCGCTGTGGAAGCAATATCTTTTTAGGTGTAAATCACCCAAAATAACGTTTAAAATAAAGCGTTGTCTAACACAATATAAAATCCTTGAAAAATAAAAACAATATATATTTATATTCAATTTTTTTCACACAACAGACCTGTAAGGGCTTTACAGGTCTGTTGTGTTTCTTAAAATGTAACAACACGAAATTAAAAATAATAGTGATCGACTATTAGAGCTACAGAGCCACACATCACACGACATAGACCCGCCTGAGAAAAACAAAAGCTAAAAAAAAGTCAGCTACTTTTACTAAATTTGGTTTTTGGCCCATTTGAAACCTTTAAAATTAAAATCATTCAAAATCCTTTCTTATTGCACACCTAGACTATAATACAAATATACCCTGAAAGTTGCTAGCTATCATAGTTTAGGCTGTGCGTTCATTATGAATCAGTCAGTCAGGACTTCTTCTTTTATGTATACAGAAGATTTGTTTCATGTAAATTTATGGCTACAATTATTATTATCTTTGAAATATTTACGTTTAAAATCCAAAGAGACAACATTAGGCACACACACACACACACAATCTATGGCAACACCATCAACGTACAATGGCCATCGAAAGATGACATTAATTATTTCTTTTGACTATTAATTTTTTTTTTAATGTCATTTTCTGAAAAAACTATATGTTTATAGTTCGTTGTTTTTACATTCTCAACCAATTCGTCGGATATCAGATTTTCAAAAATCACAATTAACAGGTAATATAATTTTAAGCTTTTTTTTTTTATCAAAATTTTGCTGAGTTATAAATAAGACTAACAGTTTGAGAGTGATTTTAAGTCTTACGTTTTGATATTAATATACATATGACATTTTCAATAATATGACATTTGAAAAAAAAACACAAGCTATCTAACAGTAAATATCTAAATATCGAACAGTACCTATACGTTAAAATCCCCATACATCCCTAAAATTCTAATAATTTATCATTCAAATATTTTACCTTAGCATACCAATATTTTCTAAAGAGTGTTGTATTCAATATCCATTACAAACCCATGTATAACAATAAACGGAATTAATGTACTGCATGTAAATAATAATATTAAATTATAGTAAAATAATAATTGAAGAGCACAGGGCAAGAATAGTATATAAATATGTCCATTTATTTATTTTTAGTTGGTAGTACCATTCAATTGTGCATTGACACGTCCATTTGGGGGGGAAACGTTACAGGGAGGCCAACTTGGCGCATTAAAAACTGTTGACACACACACATTTGTACGCGCAAACCAACTCTG